AGGGGTGAGGTGTTAGAGGGGTGAGGTGTTAGAGGGGTGAGTTGTTAGAGGGGTGAGTTGTTAGAGGGGTGAGTTGTTAGAGGGGTGAGGTGTTAGAGGGGTGAGGTGTTAGAGGGGTGAGGTGTTAGAGGGGTGAGTTGTTAGAGGGGTGAGTTGTCAGAGGGGTGAGTTGTTAGAGTCTATGTGATGGGGTGTAACCATTCAAGGGGTGTATTGCTCAAGGGGTGAGCTATTAAGGGGTGATTTATTCAAGCAAGGTTATTTATTATTACTTATTATTAATTATATAATTATTCTGCGATTAATTCTAGAGGTGAGTTATTCAAAAGTTGCTTTAAAAAAAGAGTTATTCAAGAGGAAGTGGTTTAAGTTGTTGAGGTATTCAATAGGTGAATTATTGTTTGGTCTGGTGTTGGTGTTTGCCCACAGACATGGAATGTTTTCCTGTTGTTTGCTCGCGCTTGGTAATTGGGCCGTTAGAACTCCTCTCTGCTGCGCCTGTTACGCCGCGCAAACACAACCGTTTTTAGGATAAATCTCGACGACGTTGTGAACCGGTCACTATTGTCACGCTGTGAACCGGTCAATATTCTCACGCTGTGAACCGGCTGTCTCTTATACACATCTAGATGTGTATAAGAGACAGGTATTCTCACGCTGTGAACCGGTCAGTATTCGCACGCTGTGAACCGGTCACTATTCTCACGCTGTGAACCGGTCACTATTCTCACGTTGTGAACCGGTCACTATTCCGGTCCACAACGGTGCAGGATCCAGGACAGTATACTAAAAGTAGTGACACACTGGCTTCTCGTAGCACTTATAAGCCCATATCTCAGGCCAAACTGGGTCAGGATGACCCACGCAAACGCTTGAAGTGCATCACTTATTTAGGCGAAGCGTCTGCAATTTGTCTCAGTGTATGCTTACGAAGTATTTTGATTAGGCGCCGCGAATGTTTTGCACAACACTGAGCAATACTGAGAGTTGAACCTCCCAGTCTAGGGCCTGACGTTTAATATTAAATTTTTTACATATTGAACACGAGCTTTAATATTGAGCATCTTACATATTGAACACGACATTTAATATTGAACATCTTACATATTGAACATCTTACATATTGAACACGACATTTAATATTGAACATCTTACATATTGAACACGACATTTAATATTGAACATCTTACATATTGAACACGACATTTAATATTGAACATCTTACATATTGAACACGACATCTAGTATTGAACATATTACATATTGAACATGACATTTAATATTGGTTTTCTTGAAATCGTCAGCCTTTCTTTAGTGAGGTCTTCGTCATATACGTTCACAAGAACAGATTCATGTTTTTCATCTTCATATTCTCACACGACTGCAGTTCATCGGAGGATTCTGTAAGAAACAATCTCGCTTTGCTTTATATTGGAGAGTAATTTGTTGTTTCAGGTGTCCAGGGGTGAGTTGCTTAAACTGAAATATTGTGCTTAAGAGAGATATGATTTTTATATGTTAATTTCTTTGTTCGTTCCGGAAACCTTCACGAACTCTAATAAAGGCAAGTTCACTTTATTGAATCATCTTAACTTTCACTCAAGGTAACCCGCAATTTTCATACACTGTGAGCCGAGTATTTTAAATATCAATGCAAGTGTCTGATGAAAAATTGTGATTCTTTTAATTCCTGAAATACGGAAAGCAGTATTTATTTATACATGAAATTAACCCAGTTTTCAATTTACACTTGTAACTTCATTTTTGAGCTCTATCCGTCATCTTGACACGAGATTCTTGCCTCGGGTAGTTGTAACATTGAATATTTTATTAAAAATTCCCAAATGATTCACTTTTTAAAAGAAAATAGATTAATATTGCATTCCCTCTTGATTTCTTGCTGCATTAAAATCAGGAAAAATCTCCCACAACTGCGTAGCATGTAAAACATATAACCATCCCTGCTACTGCTGTTGCTGCTAATGTAATGACCGCGTAACTCTGTAGCGCATAACGTTGAAATTAGAATGAGTTACTCTCAGATGTTGAAGCGAGGATTTGTATGTTTTTTGTAACATCTAAACAATGAAATTATGAAATTAGAGGGTATTGCCCTCAAATATTTTAGCGCATGTTCTAGACTGTTTACCATTGAAATTAGGAAATTAGAGGATATTGCCCTCAGATATTGTAGCACGTATTTTAGACTGTTTATCATTGAAATTATGAAATTAGAGGGCATTGCCCTCAGATATTTTATCGCGAGCATTAGACTCTTTGCCATTGCCATTAAAATTATGAAATTAGAGGCCATTGCCCTCAGATATTTTATCGCAAGCATTTGACTGTTTGCCATTGAAATTAGTAAATTAGAGGGTATTGCCTGTCTCTTATACACATCTAGATGTGTANTTAGATCTTGTAGCGCGTGTTTTAGACTGTTTACCAATGAAATTATTAAATTAGAGGGTATTGCCCTTAGATCTTGTAGCGCGTGTTTTAGACTGTTTATCATTGAAATTATGAAATTAGAGGGTATTGCCCTCAGATATTGTAGCACGTGTTTTAGAGGGCTGTTCTCGTCGATCACGGCTCCCCTTGCGGCACCTGGCGCTGCCACGGCGTCTTAAATTAGAAAACCGAGGGTAGGGTGAGGGCTCGTGTGAGGGGCATTGTGTGACTCGCGCCTTGTGTACTGTGTGGACTGTGTGACTCGCGCCTTGTGTACCTTATGTGCACTGTGTGAGTACCGTGTGTGTACCACGTGTGTACCGCGTGTGTACCGCGTGTGTACCGTGTGTGTACCGTGTGTGTACCGTGTGTGTACCGTGTGTGTACCGTGTTTGTACCGTGTGTGTACCGTGTGTGTACCGCTGTCTCTTATACACATCTAGATGTGTATAAGAGACAGGAACATGTCAGTGGAACATGCTCAGCGGAACATGTTCAGCGGAACATGCTCAGCGGAATATGTTCAGCGGAACATGTTCAGCGGAACATGCTCAGCGGAACATGTTCAGCGCAACATATTCAGCGGAATATGTTCAGCGGAACATGCTCAGCGCAGCATGTTCAGCGGAACATGCTCAGCGGAATATGTTCAGCGGAACATACTCAGCGCAGCATGTTCAGCGGAACATGTTCAGCGGAACACGTTCAGCGGAACATGCTCAGCGGAACATGTTCAGCGCAACATGTTCAGCAGTACATGCTCAGCGGAACATGTTCAGCGGAACAGGCTCAGTGGACTATGTTCAGCGGAACATGTTCAGCGCAACATGTTCAGCGGAACATGCTCAGCGGAACATGTTCAGCGGAACATGCTCAGCGCAGCATGTTCAGCGGAATATGCTCAGCGGAACATGCTCAGCGGAACATGTTCAGCGGAACATGTCAGTGGAACATGCTCAGCGGAACATGTTCAGCGGAACATGTTCAGCGGAATATGTTCAGCGGAATATGTTCAGCGGAACATGCTCAGCGGAACATGTTCAGCGGAACATGTTCAGCGGAACATGTTCAGCGGAATATGTTCAGCGGAACATGCTCAGCGGAACATGTTCAGCGCAACATGTTCAGCGGAACATGCTCAGCGGAACATGTTCAGCGGAACATGCTCAGCGCAGCATGTTCAGCGGAATATGCTCAGCGGAACATGCTCAGCGGAACATGTTCAGCGGAACATGTCAGTGGAACATGCTCAGCGGAACATGTTCAGCGGAACATGTTCAGCGGAATATGTTCAGCGGAA